GCCATCAAGGGTATGTATATCAGAAAAGTACCTGAAAGACATCACTTTAAAGAAGTAATGTGTGGCATTCCAGTGGCTTAATGGTGGAGTCCAGGTGTGCTCAGGCCAAACAGTGGGGCTGGACACAGAGAGGGCTTTTGGCTGGAAAAGAATGCTGCACATATTTAAAAACTCAGAGAATAATTCTGCACTGAAGGACTTAGATGTAGATTCTCTAGTCATTGAGCAAATCCAGGTGGAGAAAGCACACAACATGTGCTACTGTGATCACAGAGCTCACGGTCCGATTAATACCCAAACACCGACACGCGCTCCCCCTGCAACACTGAGGTGATCCTCATTGAAAAGGAACAAATTATTTCTGAGGGTGCGCAGAAGAAAAAGGCAACCCAGTAGAAACTGAAGAATTAAAACTTATAACATGGAATAAATTCGGCATAAAGTAAAAGCAAATAAAACCAAAGAAAAGACAAAAAGAAAACCTATGTACTTCATCCAATTCAAAAGGACAGAGACTTAAATCAGTTCTTTATTGGCAAACTAATTTAAATACATCACTGAGCTATCTGGGAGGCGTTCCTAAAGGATGAGTCAAATGCAGTCATTTTAAAATTTAATGTAATTTTCTATTTTAATTATTTTTTTGATTTATTTATTTTTATTTTATGTGTATGAGTGTTATGCCTGCATCTATGTCTTCTGTCCTTGGAGGACAGAAGAGGGCATCTGATCCCCTGGAGTTATCCATGATTTTTAGCCACCATGTGGGTGCTGGGATTCAAACCCTAGTCTTCTGCAAGAGCAGCCAGTGCTCTTAACTGTTAAGCCATCTCTCTAGCCCCCTAATACAGTCATTTCACAAAATAAAATCTTTTTTTTAGTTACCAAAACTATCCTACCAAATTAGAGCTAATATACTTCATGTTTCATTTAGTTAAATTAAGAGACATTTACATACCAATAAAGCTGTAAACAAAGTGTTAAAAAGCTTTTAGGTCGATATGCCTTCTCAGACTGCAGTTATTGAGGATTTGAGTTCTACAGAGTAACATCATTTCTAAAAATAGCAATCAAAACTTTAACAATTTCCTTCATGTAACAGTAAAGTTTATTTTTAATAAACAAAAGATTTAAAATTTGCAGTTTAAAACATGCACATTCACAAAAGGCCAATGACATGTAGCAGTGCATAGAGAATGATATACTCAACTTCAGTAACTATTTATAAAACACAGTGCATCGAACATCAAGATAAACAAACCTGAGAAAACTACGCCACCCACAGACTGGACACTATCCACTCACGCAGCGTCACAATTTCCAAAGCAGATTCGGCAGGAATGGTTTTCCATAGAACTGAACATCTCGTTTATCTTTGATGCACACTGCAGTTTTCCATAGCTGCCTTCCAGGGCTGTCTTTTATTTTTAACCTATTTCACATTTGACAATGTGAAAAACGAAGCTTAAAGAGGCTAAACATACAGCACTGACTGCATTTATGGCTTCTATTCTAGAACTGTGAAACGTGAAAACACTGAAAAAATATTCTGTTCACGTCTTTGCCAGAGCAGACTTACCTGTGGAAAGTTGCTGTTAATTCAGTGTAAGCAATTATGAAATCCCCATTTCTTCCTACTGAAGGAAGATTTATTTGCTGGGAAGTTTTGTGAGCTTTGTGAAGGTAAGTTCTTGGAGACAAGCTAAACAAAAGACTCAAGTAAATTTGTTGAAATTTGTTTGTAAAATAACCCACTTATTTAGAAAAAAGTTGGGTGGAGAACCAATTACTTTGTCCACTGGACTATTAAATCCAGGTAGGCCATGATCAAATTTTATAAATAAATAAACATAAAGATTTACAGCAAAAGCCATGCATTTGCCTGGATCACCTTAAATATTAATTCATGCAAACCATAAACCTATCAAAAAAACAGCTGCTGTCATACAGAAAACAAATCAAGTTGAAAAATGGAAAACATCTTTCCTTTCCTTAAAAATTTAACTTACATTCCATTTTAATAGCTGTTGAAGGTTAATTAAAATGCAGCAAAGTACAACTAAGTTTCACAAGTGACTTGTTATTTTAATGTGAGAAAAATCAGACTATGGTGTCTTCAAGAGACAGTACAGAATGTTTATCATTAAAAAGCACTTATTAGGCACGGAACCACATGGTGTTACTGTAAGCAACTGACAGAATTCCATAGACCTGGTCACTGTGGTGGATGGGCTGGCATTTTCTTGATATATTTTGTTGAAGATTTCCTATAAGATTAAAGATTTATTTTATGAAATAATGTTTTAAGAACAGGAACTATCAAAGGGCAAGTGCATGAAAACACACAATCATGAGTGCCTAGCTTTAGCGTACCTATGACACCGCTACAAATTGTTTAAAAATTAGGCTATTACTTTCCGACTAGCACTCATTTTCTGAAAGGAAATTTTAAATGACAGGTTATAAGTGTGACACAGTGCACACAATAAAGGACAAATATCCTATGAATATCATGCCAGGTATCTGAGATGCTGAATTAAAATATTAAAATATATAATTAAATACTGTTATGAAATGTTGATTATTTCTAGAATTCGTTTTGACCCCCTGGAAAGGAGGAGGACTCACTGATTCTCTTGGATGACAATAGAATTCATGGCTACCTTATTTGGCAGTATCCCTTCACCTGTCTGGGTGAGAGAGAGCTTTCCAGTAAGTTCTTAATGCTGCTGATATTATCTTACAGGGAGCACTGAGTGGAGGTGTGAGACACACCATGTTAAATTTCCTGCATTCCTGAGAAACACTGCTTTCCTGCTAATACATTCTACAATATAGCATCTTTCAGGGTGTGATACCAATATATTTTTATATGTATATATAAAACACTTAGAAAGTCCATGCTCAACACTACCATGTACATTCCAACACTAATGAAGCAACTCCTGGCTTTTCAATGCCAAAGGAATGAGGATTTTCTACCATAAATAGTATTTTCTGAATTGTAAACATTATAAAGCAAATTGTGTTAGCATTTTCCAGAGTCCCTACAAGGGACTTTTTAAATTGGAGTTATATGTTGTTTATTTCAGAAAACATAGGTTAATAGTCACTTTAACTACAGTCATTTGAATCCTGGTAAAAGCACACAACTTTTTCCAGCTAAGAAAGGTTAAAAACTCAAGAGTACTGAGTCTCTATAAACTCCCTGCAATTGAAATTCTGTAGTTCAAGTTTTACCCAAGTAGTCACTTCCCACCCTCTCCTTTACCAAGGAAGAGACTGACTTAATATCCATAATTCAAACACAGGCTCCAGGGACCAAAAGGCATAAACTGTCTTATTTCAGGCTGTGATGTAGACTGATAACTCTGAGTATTCTCATGTTGAAGAGCTCCATCAAAATAATTCATGATTCAAGATAAAAATAAAACTTTTGATTTTCATGTTGAGGTCAAAAGAGTCTATTCTATTCACAATGTTTTGATATTGAAAATTCTGGAGAAAGACACCCCCGATTAGTGGAGGGCAGAGGGAAGCAGTGGTTTAGTAACTGTCATGGGATTCACTTTATTCTTGCTCATTTTTGTGGTCTGACTCAACTATCACCACTGGGAGGCTGAGGAAAACCAACTCTCTAGATTCAGTGAGTAGACAGTTAAAGTCTATGACTTCATCATTTCGAACACCATCTTAGACTCTCTACATCTGTGGTTTTGCTAGATGTTTTGATTCATGATTCTCTTAATCTGAGCCCCAAATGGGACGGGTCTGAGATGTGAAGTAATGTAAACTCTATTCCCTTTTGAATTACGTGTATGTGTTACAACCTCTTATTTTTAGAAAATGTAGAGACATACTGGTAACTAGCTACAAATTCAGAGAAGGAAGAGATCTAGACTCCAACTTTAAATCTAGATTGTGAAAAAGGGAGACAAGAATGTAAAATGATGAAATGGGGCCAATTTGAAAAATCACCTCTTTCCCCAATGGTGTCCATCCATGTTTTTAAAGTGCTACCTATTTTGCTGGCAATCCACTTTAAAGGCAAACAGGGTTTTGAGTAAAAGGCAAAAAAGTTTGCTTCAATCTCTGAAGTGTATCTGAAAACTGGAACTCCTTTTTTTTAATCTTTTAAAATGAAAACATTATTGTAAAAACAGTGTAGAAAATTGGTTGTAGTTTTAAACAGCCCCTTCACCATTTACTGTTGGTAGCAAAATAGGCATTTTTTAGAGGTCATGGAAATGCTGAAAACAATTAAACAACATACATCTCAAAATATATTAATGAACCGTACTCATGATGAGAAATACTATTTGACCACTAATCTTTTAAAATGAAAACATTATTGTAAAAACAGTGTAGAAAATTGGTTGTAGTTTTAAACAGCCCCTTCACCATTTACTGTTGGTAGCAAAATAGGCATTTTTTAGAGGTCATGGAAATGCTGAAAACAATTAAACAACATACATCTCAAAATATATTAATGAACCGTACTCATGATGAGAAATACTATTTGACCACAAAGTTACAGGTTTGAGTAAAATAAGAAAGACATACCTCGTATTAATTCAAGAGATCTAAGGGTTTCCATTCATCCCAGTGGGAAAAACTTCATTTGAATGCAGCATAGCATATACAGCAAATTGAATGATGTCTATCTACTGATGCCCATGCACACAGCACATCTTACTTTTACCCATTCCATTTTGTTGTGAAGTGATCCTTTCTAGGCCTTTGGAGAAAACCATTTGAAGGTATGTATCCATCCTCTAAAAACTTTGGTAAGACAGACTAGCCTGGTACTCACAGAATGGCTTACGGTTACAACTCCTAAAGAGTTCTGTCAGGATCATACTCTTTGAACAAGACACACATTTTAATACATGAGACCCCTAATAAAGTAAAGGCCCCATCTGATAGTTCCACATCAGTGAAGCCCACCCTATTCTCTGTAGCAGTATTTCTACCCTGTCCATTTCCTTTTTTGGACTGCCTACAAATATTCTCTGGAAAAGAATCATCAGATGCTATAGCACTGACCATCAAAACACCCCTAAAGAATGGGAGCACTACAAAGTGCCTATAAGCAGGGACCGTCTTCCTAGAGAACCAACATCACACACCGAACATTGAAAAAATGTAGTATTCACATTTCAGAAAATTCCCTCAAGCAGTAATCAGCTCTTAAGTTTCACCCAACTTAAAGATCTATGCTAAAAATAAAAACCCACAAACCTTCAATGCCTGATGTGTGCATGATCTTTAAGTCTTAAATAAGCTCTTCTCCAAATCAAATTATCTAGCAAAATAGATGGGAGTAGGGCTGTTGCTAGCTTAGCTGAATATTTACACCTCTCAACCAAATAGGACATTTGTTCATGTAGTGGAGGTAGGCAGAAGGAGAACATTACCTAACAGACCTCGGGTTAAGACAAGGTTTTTTTTTTTTTTTTTTTTTTTTTTTTTTTTTTTTAAAGAAGGAGAATGTGCTACTTATCTATCCCAATAAGCAGCAAGCGACTCATCTTGGGAATTGTTGGCTGAGTGAACTGTGAAATAATCTTCAGCCTTAAGCATATGGGCAGTCACCATCACACCAATGAGAATCCCCTCCAGTGGGAACAGGCAGTGAGGACCACACAAAACACATGACAAAAGCTGAGCCTATGTACATTACAAAAGCCCATGCATTTATCTGACACTTTAACCCAGTCACTGAAGCCGAAGCTTTGGAAATCGCACACAAATATGTAAGCATAATTAAGAGGGAAAACTTGAAGACAAAGTGACATCCTCACTCTACAGCAGAAGCCAGAAAAAATCTAGAGGATGAAAGTTGATCAAAAATGACAGACACAATACAGTTCTAAAAAAAAAAACAACAGTGCTATAACGATAGTCACACGGACACACATTCCCTCTAACTTGAACAAAGAAAGGAGACAGAGAAGTACTTGTAAGGCTGAAGGTGCGACACCACAGATTTTAGTAGCAAATGCCTTGAAATACTCATTTTTTTTGCAAGTCACTTTCACAATTGAAAAGTCAAGCATGCAGATCTTATAGCAGTACTGGAAGTGAACTTTCTCAAATTTCTGGGCAAATGACTACTGAATGAGAGATACACTTACTGAACTTCTTTGGCAAACACTTAGCAAGACAAATTTTGACACAAATACTTATTAGTGCCTTGTTTAGAAGTGCTCAGTAAAGTGAGTCAGTCCCTTAAGAATGCTGGTTTGTTTCAGCATATCCTGAAATCTAAGTCTGGATATTGAGATTCCCTTTCCCATAAAACCGGTCAGTTTAGAAGTTTGTTTTCTTTTTAAATGGTGGTCAAGCCAAGGAACTGATGGTCAGTTACATCCCAGCCAAGGAACTGATGGTTAGTTGCAGTCCCCAAGTGACAGTTTGTGAACACTGAACTGTCCTCATTTTGAGAAAGCACTCTGACAAGATATAAGGTCATTTTCAATATCTGTTTACAAAGCCTTAGCAAGTGCTTGAGAACTTCTTGGAGAGATGGTGTGACAGTAGCTGCACAGTGCTTATGTCTATGAAGTACATGAATCCGAAGGTCCATCTGTGAGATGAGCTCAGATCCACCTTTCCTCTCTGTGAACCAGACTGGGATTGGTCAGCAGATTGCAGTGATGACCTTAGATTGTGGCAGCTCTCCCAAGAGATGCAGCAGAGCCTGCTGCTCAGCCCTCCCCATCACCACTCATCTGGCCTCTGTTTTGTGGTGTCATAAGCTCTAATCACTTCAGACTGTGAGACGATACCATTTTCATCTTGAGAGAAAGCATATCCATCTGTAAGTAAAAATAGAAGAGAAATCACTATCATGAACTGGAAAAGGCTGTTAGTTCTGAGCGCTTACTGTCTATCTGGGAGAGCTGATGCCTACTTCCCACCTTCAGAAGAACGGGGAGCTCAATTTCACATCTGGAAAAGACACAAACTCAGCTGAAAAAGGAGAGTGGGAGGACCAGATGTGCCAGTGTAGTCTGTAAATTTGGCTTTCCCTTAGACTAGGCAGAAGCTGTGAAATCCCCCTCAATCCTCTGTTCTCTATCTCAAGTCGAATTTCCTCCATTTTTTGCTTCTCTGTGGCTGGAAGGGCTCAGAGAGTCTGGCTATGTAGGTGTATACATTTCTAGATGGGTCAGGCGACGGGGAGGGAGGGTTGGAGAGAGTTGGATAGTAGGTGAACAGAGGGACATGTTAATTAGCTTGACTGAATCATCCTACCACAAGTACATGGATCAAAACACCACACTGTGCTCCATAAATACATATGATTATTCATCAATTAATGACACTGAGGACATGAACACACACAGTTGCCAGTGGCAGAAGAGTGGTCTGCTTTCTTCAGGCAATATTCTTGTTGGCTCTCAGCATCTATAAATAAACTCACTGATGTTCAACATGGTCAGAGGAGGCATGGGGTTAAGAGATGACCCCTAAGGACTCACATCTTTAGAAAAGGCCCCTTGAAATACAAAGAGCAAAAGCATGAAACATGAGCATATATAAAGGAAAATGAATTATATGTGGAAACATGAAGCAAAAGATATATTACCAACACCAATAAATTTACTACAGGGCTGCATATGTTATGTTCCCGCTCAGATCTTTGAAATGCTAAGAGGGTGAGATACCTAATAACTTATACAGTTCTAAATATTCATAAATATTTCTGAAGGGGAGAATATATGTTTTCTTGTGTTGTATGGAAGCGAAAGGCTCTTGTGATTTATTCAGCTAGAAAGGATAATAACACAGAGGCAGCTTTAAGAGTTAAGATTTATATCACTGTTTCTTTTTAAGATTTAAGCAAGTAAAGAATGTGGAGGTATTACTGTTTTCCTTTAAGTGAGACAGCAGCCTTTTAAAATGTTCTATTAGAAATGAGATGGTGTAGCACATGGGCTTTTTAACCACCCATTTGTTTTTACACAACGTGTTTAAGAGATCCAAAACTTATTTCTGGTGTTACTTTTAAATAGCTAACTATTCCTCAAGTCAGCATTCTGCTCTGATAAGTGCTAGGACCCAGAGATGGCAGAGAATTCATTTACGATAAAAACACAAATGCTTACGGAGCAGGTTTTGTTGTAATGATTCAGAGCGGTACAGATTCACATGGTTCTTCTTAAAGACGTTCTTGAGCAGTTGGGCCCTCTCAGTGAGGCTGTGGAGCAGGTGCAAAAGTGTGAAACACATTATCAGCTCAGGAGAGCCCAGCACTCTGCAGGAGCACCAGCAGAGTTGGGCGTGAACAAAAGCTTCCTGGGAACCCACAGCCCAGTCTGATTCTTTTTACTCTAGTTTCCCAGATAGCAAATGAAATGTCAAGTATTTAGACTGACACTTTTGAGGCCATTTCCTCCATAGCTAAGGAGGAGTTTTTAATCTTTAATAATAATCTAGGAAAAATGAGATTTTTTTTTGCTCCCTATGATTATATCTAAATCAAATAGAAATACAGAACCTGTTCAACATAATAAGTGAAAAATTAGCAAACCATCTAGTAGTATTAATAATTTCTAAAACCTTGATTACTTACTGTATGTATTCTTAGTACAGCATTCTTTGAATGAAAAAAACCTCTGTTTTAGCTCTATTATACTGTTTTCACACAGACATACTCTGGTTTAAAGTATGTCAATTTCATTTTAAAGAATGTTTTTAGAAAAGAATTCTGCTAGGTAAAGCAATGAAAAATGCATAAATGTTTAGAATGGTCTTGATAAGACAGGTCTTCATAATTAATCACACAACTACTGAAAAGTGCCTGTGAGATTTCATGCATCTTCCCCCCACTGTACTTAGCAGAGTGCCTCATATAAGCAGGAACTCAAAACATTTGTTGAACAAAGGAATCTGAAATTCAGAGATGCACTTGTACCCCTCTTCCATCTTACTAACTACATTATTTTCTAGTGATTGATTTATTAAACTTTCTTTGATAGAAAGAACATGGTGAGCACAGGAGAAAAGAAGCTGTCTATATGCGTTAAAGCAAATGATCATGCAACTGTGTTTTAACAATTGTAGCTGCATCAGCTAAAAAATTTCCAACTTGTTTTTCTCCCACTATAAAGACTTTAGTTAAGCTGTTCTAAATTATGTGAGTTCTGTGTTTTGCCACTTTTTGAATCCCTGAAAGAGAATAATCTTTGTATCTCTCTCTCTCTCTCTCTCTCTCTCTCTCACACACACACACACACACACACACACACACACACACACACACACACAGAATCCTCATTGTATAAATGAATTATGCAGACATTTAGGCAAAAACTGAAGGAAAATATTTAGAAATGTTGACATTTGTAGTAATCCTCCTCACATATTTTTTTAAAGCCTAGGGATGTTAACTGGGACTTACTAGACATATTTTATTATCTCTGGGAATTAGCTACATTAAAAGGAGAAAATGATTTCATGCACAACTCCAGTGGTGGTAAAGTTAGTTGTAAACCTTGTTTCTGCCAGTGACATAAACAGAGAAGGAGAAAGGGTCATTTTGATCAAGTCACTTTTCTTACCCTTCTCTTTAAATGATCTAACATTACAGGCCCTGGGGCACTGAGGGACACTAAAATAGGTAACTGCTTTGAGGAAGTGGGCAGCGTGAACAGCGGGCAGTCAGTCTGACTTTGTTAGCAGAGTACTATGGCCAGTGTGTTTGGAAGTCTCTGGTGATTGAAACTGAAATCACTACAGAAGGCAGGAGGAGGGCAATGTGTCATTCTGCCAGTTTCTTCCCCAAATCTGTTTTCCAGGTTTGAGGCAGGCCTTTCTAAAAGCATCATACTTGAATACTGCAACACTAGAGTGTGAAGAGGCAGGCATGAGGATTTTATCTTTTATATTGCAACAACTGAAATGCATGGGGGGAAAGTGGCACGTCCCTCAGCAAAGAGCCCAGACTTTGGAGTCTGTCTTTGACTTGATTCTGAGTCTGCTCCGTACTAGCTGGATCGTCGTACACAAAGCTTCTTTGGCCTTGTTATCGTCCTTATAATGGGAGAGGACAATATATGACTCTCAGGCAGACAAGAGAGGGTTTAGCTACCTGTCAGCACAGTGATTGACACCGAGGAAGCACTCAACAAATGCTGGTCCCTTCCACCCCTATCCCCCAGATCCATGGGTTTTATTAGAAAAGATACTTTTAAAAGATCACAAATGGTACTTTGTAAGGGTCATTTTTGATGCATTGCTTTATACTTAACCTTGGCTCAGTGGGGAGAGGTCTACTGCTGAACTGTTGTCATTTCTAATGCAGCCAGCCCACCTCTTTGATAAGAAAACAACTATGTATTTTTCATCTTTTTCCTTGGTGACTGAGTTTTCTGCTTCAGTCCTTGCAGAGAAGAGTACCTCTTTGAGAATATAAACGCCATCCGAAAGGGAGCACTTCATACATTATAAGTGATGGTGAGTTGCATTTCTCTGGCCCTATTCTACCTTTTAGAGGAACAACTCATCATTTCAAAATATGTGCAGTTCTGTGCTGTCTGTATATGGGGACTGATTAACATTAGTCCTGATGTGACTACCAAGCCACATTATGAAATATACTGATCACACACTAACTAAAAGTTTTTTTTTTTTGAAGAGCTTAATGCAGTATGACAGAAAGGAAGGGAGGAAAGAAAGGAAAGCAAAAAGGACCAGGATATGTCCTCACTAAAACCACATCTATTCAGGACCCTTAGCCAGCACTTTTACTCACTCTTTGTATGCTCTTTCATTTACATACCAAGCTACGCAAATTCCGAGAGTTTGTTGAATGCAATTACATAGCAACTACCATTTAAATATTGGTGGTTTATTTCCAAGTCCATGAAAATGTTACAATTTAGGTGTTTGGTGGAGGTGAGTGAAAACATTCGTGTTTAAATATAGTATTTCTTTCAGAAACACTAAAAAATATGAGTGTTGTAAAAAAAAATTCATGTAGAATCAAGGAATGCATTGGAATGTGCCATTTAAAATAATTTTAGTCCGTTTTTGAAGGGTGGTAAAATGGCATCTGTTTATATATGTTGGCTTGGCAAGTTATTTTGGTTGACTCACTGAAATGAATCTCCAGAAAGTAAGCATTCAGTCACGGGAGAGTTAACATGCAGCATGGAGAGGGAGGGGCGGTACTGGGACGATGAGCCACGATGTTAACAGGCTTAATCCCACGACTCTAACAGGCTTACTCTCTGTCAAGGAGGAGATAACACTGCCTTGTATCCTTTTACTGTGTGCCTATTTGTGTATGTTGCGTGATACTTATTAGTGTGGGTGTCTCTGCATACATGTAGAGGCCTGGGACTGATGGGGTGTCTTTCTTTGATCACGCCCTATCTATATTTTTGAGGTAGGGTCCCCTCAGTGAACCAGAAGCACATCATTGGCAACATATATGAACTTTAGGGTCTGCCTGGCTCCAGCCCCTATGGAGTTGTGGCTATAGGCATGTGCTATCATGCCTGGCTTTTTTTTCTTTTTTGTCTTTTTGAGACAGGATCTCCCTGTAGCCCCAGCTGTCCTGGAACTCACTATGTAGACCAGGCTGGCCTCGAACTCACAAAGATCTGCCTGCCTCTGCCTCCCCAGTGCTGGGATTAAAGGCGTGCACCACCATGCCCGGCCACTCATGCCTGGCTTCTTATGTGGGTTCTAGAGATCTGAACTCATGTCCTTATGCTTGCAAGGCAGGTACTTTACTGACTGAGGCATCTCCCTAATCCCAGAAAAGCTTTTCTATAGCCCTCCATTTTTAGTTCCCACCGAGGTATGTATTGTCATACTAACAAAGTCCAGTGTGGAAACTGGGACATAATTTCATTTGCTAGTTCTGGGGCAATGCCAAAATTGCTTTCCAGTACAAAAGACTAAGAGAGTTTGGGAGTGAGCCTCAACATGGTCCATCATGACCATATTACCTGACAGCTGAGGCTGCAGGAAAGAGTGATGATGGACAAGTCAGTGAAGACTGACCTGATGACCTAAGACCCTGAGCTCAGGTCTGTTAAGAAATGACTTATGTGGTTGACGTTCACAGCTTGAAAAGCAAACTGTGAGTCTCATTATCATTTACTTGCCCATAATATACATAGCTCACATACACTCCAGTGATATCCCAAAAGAGCTGCCCTCTCTCTAATGAGACCAGTTTCCATAATCCTTTGTTACAACCCTTGTGTGTGTGTGTGTGGGGGGGGGTGTTGCTCCTGTATGTGCAAGTGTGAAGGACATAGAGAACACCAGGTGTTCTGACCTCTCACTCTCCACCTTATTTCCTTGAGATAGTCTCTTTCGGAAACTGGAACCAGGCAGAAGTCCAGTAAGTCCCAGTGATCCTCCTGACCCCACTCCCCACCCTGCTAAGGTTATAGGCATGCAGGACCATGTTATGTGGGTGCTGGAGGCTTGAACTCAGGTCCTCATTTCACAGTGAATATTCTTACCCGCTGAGCCATTTCCCTAGCTCTCGTCTCTGTTTTTTTAAACTCACATTTTTTGGCTATTTTATAAATGGTAAGATGTTACATGCAACTCTTAGCTTAGCAGGATCTTTCCTCTGCTGTTGCTGTCTTTCTTCCCCTTGCCATTTGCTGCTCTTTTTAGCAGGAAGCCACCATGCTCTCCCTGGTGATTGACGATGTACTTTGAAATCACCACTGGGCAGCAAGAGCGAGTGTGTGCTGTAGGGGTGGGGAGTGTTGTTTGTGGTATTTAGCCAATTTATTTAACTCATTACTGAATTCCTGAGAAAAGCTGACTAGCTATTTTAGGCAAATGAGCTGGAGAGCTGCAGGGAAAAATTGTCTAAAGTGCTTTCAACAGAGAAATCAGTGGTCATATGTGGTATGATCCATTTCTTTCTGGTTTAGACTCACTGATTCATGCTTTACTTAACGGAAGGGGCTACATGCATTGCAGACTCATGGAGCATATCACTTCAACCCCTCACTGACCATGAACTGGTATGTGACATGAGACAAATGAAGTATCATGTGAAGGGCTTCAATGAAGGCTTTACTAACATATTTACAAACATGAGAAGTTTACTTGAAGGCTAGAACAGTATCATCAATGGCCTTTCCCTAGTAATTGTCACTACATGACTTTATTCAGTTTTGTGAGTTAGAATGCTTCCACACCCTTTGTAGTGCTGGAGAGAAAAACGGGGAAAACACACTGAGGGACTGTTGGTGCCAGGTCACAGCATAGGTGCTTTGGTATAATGAACCCAGTGAAGGGGAAGATTTTCAGATGAAGGGGAAGGTGAAGGGAAGGCACCCTTAGACCCGAGAGTCAGCGGCATCACTCATCTCTACCCACAGGCATGGATGGAAGAGGCTCAGCACTTTGTCAGGGTCTAGTGGGCTGTTCGTGTTGCTGTAGCATGTTCTGACTACCTTAGGAACTTGGTCTCTCTTAGCCCCAGTTTCCTTCTCTGAAAGAAATGGGGAGGATCCATCTACACTGAGTTGCTACAGGGGTTCAGGGAGCTGGTGTACAGAGATCACAAGTGAAGTACCTGGAAGGCAGTCTGTACTCAAGAAATGCCAGGGCTATTCTGTTCCAAGACAGACACACACTGGGGTTTCAGGGGCTGGTCTGGCCTAATGAGGAGTAGTAAGAACTGGAGGCTGGGGTCCTAGCTTCTGATGCCTACCCCATTGTGTCAAACACTGTAAAAATGCTGATTCAAGATTAGGTAACCCACAGCAGGATAAAACATTTCCCATGGACATTAGACAAAAATCTTCGCTCTGATTAGTAGGATAAAGAAAACATAAAACAAATTCCCAGGACCATCTTTATAAATATGTTTTACTATGGATTGCTTTTAAGTAATTTTCTTTTAAATAATGCTTTGTGTATTTAGTGAATCTTTCATCTCTCAGACTTGCTTCTTTGGAGAATGGTGGTGGTAAAGAAAAAAAACCTACAGCCTATCTAGGCTGGTTCCAAATAACATCCTGAACCCAACATGCAAACAGGGATGTTTGCCCTGTGTCAGACTATGCTTTTGATTATGTACTTGAAAAATCACTGACATTGTTTCAGAACTAATATTCTTTTTCCTTTTTTATTTTAATAAAACAATAATATTCATAACTCATTTATTTGATGCTTATTAAGTGCTAGACACTATGTTACATACTTTATAGTATTTTATTAAATTCTTTTTCTTTTTTCTTTTCATTTTGTTTTGTTTTTAGTTATAAAGTCTTACTCCATTGCTGAGGCTGGCCTGGAACTTCTTATACAGCTCAGGCTGGCCCCAAACTTGTGACTGCCCACCTCAGTCTCACAAGTGCTGGGGTTACAGGTGTATGCCACTATGCTTCATCTATTTTATTCAGTTCTCATAACCATTTTGAGGTAGGCGTATGACTCCCATTTTACTGATGAAAAAATGAAGGCCCCATAGCACTAAGGAACTTGGCTAAGGCAACACACTATTTAATAAGGATATATTTGGTTTGAATCCACACCTTTCTGATTCCAAAATTTGTCAATAATACCACCAATTCCAAGTTAGATGATAAGTAAAGTTTTTAAGGCTTATTTCCAGCCACTAGTGAAAGCTAAATGTAAAATTCTCTTATGAAAGAGCATATTCAATTTGCCCTTTACCTTTTTCCAAGTACAACTGCGCCTGGGTCTTGAGATTTCGCCTCGAGCTCCTGAACTTCATCTACTAATGTTTTAAACATGGTCCTCTTGATGCTGCAGGGAGAAAAGGAGGTGCATGGAAATGCTCCCAGGAAGATGTTACAGAGGTAGACAGGAGGCTTACCACCGTGCTGCTGATGCACAACAGCAAGCAGTGGACAAACAGGGTTTTGACAGAATCTACAAAGCTAGGGTATTTTGTTCATTAATATGGGAACAACAGTCTTAGATGTATAGTATTAAAACTCATAGTTACTAAGTAAACATATCACTAACTTTAATAAATATATTGTGGGAAGAGACAGCATTTTAAAATATAACCTCTAAATTGGAGTCGATAGGCTATTTTTTTAAAGGACATGAAGTTGGGGGGCTAGGGTCAGGAGGATGGATCTGGGAGAGCTGGGGGTGAATATGATGAAAATACATTATATGAAATTCTCAAAGAATTAATAAAGCTATTAAAAACAAAAATAACCATTAAAAATCATAACATTTTTGTTTCTTTTACACTTTACATATTTAGAGAAGGCAAGCAAGTACTTATTTTTCACAGCTCTCTTAAAAAGTATTTTGGGAGTAGAATTTTTTTTTCTACATTGTACAGATCTTGGAGCTGATGTCTAAACAGACATATTTTCTAATGTTATTTTCTCCAATCCAATGAATGCAACATCTCTTTGATGTTAATTGAAAGTACCTGTTTTATTTCTCATTTGGCCTTTTAAATTAACTTAGTTTTCTAGGTCTTAAATCATGCCTTTCTTCTTTAAAGTTAATAAACATTACTAGTGCCCATTTTGCAAACTTAAAGCTACAGACATCTGAGAGGTAACATACATCTACCTTTTTATGAATATAGCCAAATATGAGGTACTTACACTTTGCACACCACATCTAGAAGCAAGGATGCCACAGGGATTGAGAGCAAGCCCATCCAAAAGACTCCAGAGCTGAACAGCATGGCTGCCTGTGGAAATCAGCACAAACGCTGACATTTCCTTATAGCAAGAGATACACCATTCAAGGTTTCGTTTTTAAAGCTAAGTTAATTAAATGAAGTAAAATCATTTCAATATCAATCTGTAAAAGGAAATGTAGTGACTCTGAACTCAAATGTGTCAAATATTGAAATTAAAGGCCATATTTATTATAATATACCTTGACTCATCATTTTTCCCTCTCAAGTAGCTAATAGAGCAAAGTTTTTAAAATCCTATATCAAGTCCATATATATATATATA